GCCTGCAACTCCATTGGCTGTGCCAACGACTGGAGGTGAGAACATGGAGCTCATCCAGAATTGGGTCGAGACGAAAGTGGCCAAAGAGAAGCCTGTGAAGAAACGCACGAGGAGGAAAGAGATTGGAGATGAGGCTATGGAAGTGAAAAAGACTGCTGGTGCAGTGAGGAGGATGAGCGAGGCAGAGGCAAGCCGCGGTCCAAATAAGTCACAGGCAGTTCCCATGGCTATTCTTGCAAACACTGCACCAGAAACTGAAGCTATCCCGGCATTACCGATGTCGGTAGCCGTTAGATTGAGGTTGTCACGTATGATAGGAATGAGAGGTGGCGCGGCGAAGCTGGAGACAAAGCAGAGGAAGAAGGAAAACCAGGACAAGTGAAACGCTCGCATGTGGGGTTTGGCTATGGAAAACAATCTGAACTCGGTGGCCTTGTGATCAGAGTCCACAGGCAGAGCAAATTTTGGAGACTGGGTTCCCATCACACTGCCCTCCACTTCCATTTTTTCTACCCTTTGATCGGAAACAAGAAAAGAGCTTGAAAAAAAAAAAGCAGGAACAAGAAATTGGTAACTGGTTCTGGATACTGGGTAAGGCCGGCTGTTGCCTTACAGAAGATACATACAAACAAAAGTTCCAAGCTTTTGCTTTTCTTGTGTTTTGACTATTACTTGTAAATAGTATTGACGACAAAAGGGAGGTGTGGCCTTCTGTAGGCCTCGAAAGGCATGGTTTTGGAGCTTGAAACTTTGTGAATCCGCCGAGTCCCACCCTTTCACTGTGGCTTGAAGTTGCAGGGGAATTAAAGTTGAATTGATCAAAAGACTTGGAGGGTAGTGGTTGGCAGGAAGTGTGTTTCAAGTTTTGAGTGTAACGTTTGGTGGAATTAAGATTCACAAATGCCAAGGATTTTGGAATTTGATGAACAAGTTGGGCTTGGCATTGACTTATTAATTTGGAGCCTTGGAGCGGTTGCCTTCTTACAGACACAGGGATGGAATCCAGTGCAGTTCCTTCCTGCCTGAGTAAGAGATTCCTCTTCTATCAAATTTTAATGTGCGTTTGACTTTGGAGCTTGATTTCACACATGGCATAGTGGGCGGTGAAGGATAGTATAGGGGCTTCAGGTCTTGAGCCCTTAACCATCCAAGCCACAGAAAGTCTAGGATGTGACGTACACAACAAATCAAATACCGACAATCAATTCATACAGAAGAATTTATATCAAATACGATTAAATTTAAAACTAAACTAAACTAAACTATAACCATTGATCCAGTGGCGG